GGGGGTGGGGGTTGTCAGGAAATCAATGTGGAGCACATACACCTCACACTCGCGGGGCCTTGGAGAGGGAAAGGACGAGGTCCGGAGCTGCGCACGCCGTGGGCTTAATGAGGCACAGCAGGGCTGCTCTGTGCTCGCGTTTCACAGGCGGGCGCGCACACACACACACACACACACGCACGCGCACACACACACACACACGCTCGTCTCTCGGGAGGCGCAATCTCATTTCTCACAGCCTTCACGCCGGCTTCTTTATTCCTCGCCTTCGGTCTTCAGCTGCACAGCCATCCCGCCGTCCTCGCTCACGGCGCTCGAATTCTTGCTTTCAGAACCTCACGGACGCACGGACGCACGCACGCACACGGACGCACGCACACGGACGCACGCACACGGACGCACGCACACGCTCTTCCTCCCCTCTCTTGCACCCACTTCAATCATTCTTAGATCATCCGGCTCTATCTCCTCCGGCGATTTGTTCATTCATAAACCATGGCGCTGTGCTGCCGCTGAGGGTGCACGTGCGTGAACGCGAGGGCGCGGGTGGGAGGAGGGCCGGGTTAAGGGTCCGAAAGGTAATTGCGCACGCAGGCAAAAAAAAAACGCATACCCGCCTGCCTAAACACATAAAGCTCATCCATGCGCAGTCAACACACGACAGCTGCAATGACACCTCGCTTTTGCTTCGCTTTGACCTATTAAAGCGCTGTGCCCCCCCAACCCACCACCCCCCCCACCCCACTTGCGCATCCCTTTAACATCGTGTGTGACCAGCCACACAAAATACACACATATCCTCTTCCCACTTTGCTCCCTCAGGACTCACTCGAGGTGTGTGGTTCTGAAGGGGAACTGATGCCGGCCTCTCCTCGCCTTCCCCTTCACTGCACACATAAAGCCGTCCGCTTATGAGTTATACCACCATTATATTGTCTGGCTCATTGCTAATCAATATAGGAAAACTCCCTTGGGTGGTGGTGGTTCGGTGGGGGGGGGGGGGTTGTGGATGTGGGCAAACTCCTCCAATGCCAAACTTCTCGCACACACACGTGCATAAAGATATATTGCTTGTACCCAGCTTAACATCATCAAGACAAAACCTTTCCTCCTTTTTATTTAGTGATTTTGATTGTGTTTTCTGTAATAAAGAAAACAAACAAGCAAAAAAAAAAAAAAAAAAAAATACGTTTTGCTAAATTATGTGGACGTAAAGATTTCACGCGCACGAAAACAGAGGGGACTTCACACGTCTGTGGAAAGTGCTCATGGGAGCTTGAGCGACGGAAACACGGAGCCAAAAAGCGTGAAGATGGCTGAGCGGTGCGAGCAGACGCGCACACGCGCGCGCGCCCGCACACACACACCCCCACACACACACACAAAGGCACACTTAACGGCTGACACTCGCTCCGTTTTCAATTAGAGTGTCGGCTGGCTGGAAAAAAAGAAAAGGAGGAGGAGGAGGAGGAGGAGGGGGAGGAGGAACGGGGGTCTGCTGGCGCACACATGCTGCCGCAGACCGAACACATGCGCTCACACACACACAAAAAGAAAAAAACACACGAAGGAGGAAACAAAACAGGAGACAAATACATGTAAAGCGGAGGACGAGGAAAGCAAAAAGCTGACTGCACACAGGAGAGACGAAGAGGACAACAAATCTCTGGTGGAAATCACTGATTGATTCATCAACTATTTCAATAAAAGGCAAACAATGCCCCTCACTTTTACAGCTCGGATGCTTTTGATTCCCTGTTTTTTCTCCAACGGCCTCACAAGTTAGACCAAAAAAAAAAAAAAAACGACATTTAAAACGCGATAAGGAAAATGGTCACGGGTGTGAAATCCGCAGGAAAGAAAAATCGGACTGCTCACTCACGTTTCATATCTGTTGGTGCTTATTTCTCTGACCAGGTTGAGGTACAGGTTCAGTGTGATGAGGCAAACCCAGGCCAAGGCACTCCAGTCTGCAGAGAGAAAGAAAGAAAGAAAAAAAAAAGAAAAACCCCCACCAAGGTCAAATTACAACGCAGCCTGCTCGCCGCACAGCATGCACCTGCAGATGTGTGTCCGAACGTACACAAACGGATGTATGACAGTGTGTGTGCACGCGTGTGTTCCACTTTTTGATAAATGAAGGCCCATTCTGCAGTAATATGAGGGAAACCTGTAGCTTTGGGTGATGGATGAGAGGTAGGAGCTTGCGGAGAGATAATGATGAACTGTGGAAAAGCAGGGGTAGATAAGGCGGGAGTGCAGGCTGGATAGGGGGGGAGAAAAAAAAGGAGGAAGGCGAGATGTAGGGGATGCTGGTGGGTGGGAGACAGAAAGTCGAGAAAAATGAAAGGAAGGGAGGCGCGGGGGGGGGGAGGAAAATGCGGTCCGCAGATAGGAAAAATGAATGTATATTAGTGAGAATCTGGAGCGCCAGCCCTTCCTTTTCTCCCCTCATATGAACACTTTTATGCTGTGTGTTTGTGTGTGTACACATCCTGGAAGGTGGTGGCGATCTCCTCAACCCCCCCCCTCACCATGCAAAAATGCACATGCAGGCACAACTCCTCTTGCATTTTTAAGAAAGAAACCCCCCTGGAAAAGCTAAGCCAGGACAATGATGTCTGCGCCTTGTATCCTCGCAATAAGTCTGTCCTGGCAAGTGTGCGTGTTTATGCGACTAGAAAACAGCCAAAGGCTTTTCTCTGGCTCGACGTGGCACGTCTCCACCACCTGTCTTGGCACCGCTCTGCCGCCGCCCCACGCGCATTTATTTGATATTTATTTCCAGCTGCTTTAAGGGCAAAGCCGAGCCGCGCGGCTGCCGTTCGGCCTGATGTTTGTGCACGGCCGCTAACGCACCAACCTTGGAGCGATCGTTCACCGCCCATTACCTTGCGTGCGTCACGCTGTACATGTCTTGCCTGCCAGCAAGACCAATAAAAGTGGGCCTCGTGGAGTATCCTATTAGCAGCCAGTCCTAATTAAAAACCCTTATGCTAATCAATGCTAATACGGCGGCGAGAGCCGTGCCAGCTACGTGCAGACACAACCGACAGTCTTGGTGGGAAAAAAAAGGGATCCCGCATCGGTTTCCCAACCGTTCCGAGACTGTACGTGTCTGCATGTTGCAGCTCGGCGCCATCATTGGATGAAAGTCCCCTCACACGCGGGTCCGTGATGAAAGACCGAGGTGTCTGGTTTGAGGGCGTTTGAGCAGCGAGCGCTGCGACGGGCCAATTGCTAAGCAGCACAGAATCTGACTCACCACCGCTGCGGTTGAGGAATTCTGAGGATTGTAGGTGTGTGAATACAAAAGCACGATTAAAAGCACCTTAACCCCTCTGCTACCAAGAAATATCCCGGCCTTCTTTCTGTCCTGCTTTTACTTTTACCAGCAGGGATGAGATTAGAAATCGTAAAGTAATAAATATGTATAAAAGCCCCATGTTACATGACACACACATGCATCAGGCCTTTGCCTGCTTGGTGCACACACACCGGGTCACCGTGCGCTGACAAAGGGAGCTGCTCGATGGCTGCGACTGATCAGGTTCAGCCACTTCCAGATCAATTCCCTGAAGCATTTCGCGCCTTTTGGCGAAAGTAAATGCGGAGCAAAATACTTGGAAACCTTTCTTAATAGTCCTTCCTCACGCACAAGGAAACTAACCAACCCGCTGCCGCTGGTACATAGTAGGCAAACAACCAAGAATATGTCAGAATTCACTGTTAATTGCACCGCTCACTTGCCCCTCGGCCACGCTGGGACACAAGACGATGGACAAATATGTAAATATGGTCTTTGTCTGACTAAAACCAGATTCACGAAATGCATGTGAACGCATTGTTTTAAGCTGGACAAGCAGGCCGTGTCCTGAAGGGTCCGCGCGAAAAGGCAAGCCGAGAGGGGGCATAGCGCCATCCGTCGCCATGCATTTAAACACCTTTCAAGAATAAATTGATTCCTCTTGAGTACTTTAATGCAGACGCGAGAGGAATTGTCCAATTGTTCGGTTTAGTCGCGCTAAAACTGAAGCATACAGGATGACTTAGCACTTAAATTCAGGTGCAAAACACAGGTTACACATGACATTCTGTTTTTGTTTTTGTTTTTTGTTGTGGGTTCCCTGTCCTGAAAGTGTTATATATAGCTTTTTATATGTGTAATCCTACAGTTTACCATGAAATAAAACAACACGGCTTTAAATTAGCTCATGGGTTCTAAAACTAAAAAAAAAAAAAAAAAAAAAAAAACTTTGGAAGTTGGAACTGTGGCTTGTCTGTCCTCCGAAAATAGCTCCCAACCTGTTCAGGCACATTTTGTTCTCAAGCCAAAAAAGGAAATGACAAAGCCATATCATTTGCCTTGGTGATATATGAGCTCCTCATTGGATGTCACTGTTGGATCTCTGCTCTTTCCGAGCTGCGCGTCTTCACAGCGAAAAACTGTGCCGATGTGAGCGATTAATTAAAAGTCTGACTTACCAAAGTATGTCAGCCACCAGGCTTGGAAGTCGCAAAGAGATCCCTCCGGATGGCTCTCTCCCTGGGGAGTTAAAGAGGAGCAGCATGGGAAAACATTCTCTGCAACCCTTCTGCCAAAGAGACAAGCCACGCTGTGGTTTTCAGAGGAAGAGAGGGGGAGAAAAAAAAACAAAAAAAAAGAGGAACTCACCATGACATATGCGACGCTGTCGAAGAAGGCAGCAACAGTCAGGCTCAGTATCATCTTCTGCGGCGGGAAAGTTTACAGAGAAAGACATGAGGAAGAATCCTCTGACACAACATCCCAGGTGAAAATACCAACTCAGAAAAAAGACAATAAATTAAAAATAAAGGCCAAACCACAGCTCAGGCGATCCCTGATGTGGCCTACGCCGTCTGTGGAGACGGCTCGGCAACAACGTCGCGCATAGGACAGTTGGAAGATTTTCCGCTTGTGCGGTCGGACATTTTTCTCATTTAACGCAAAACAAATGGTGTGTCGCAGACGTCTGGGGGGGGGGGGGGGGGGGGCGCTCGGAAAAGGAAAAAGCGTCGGGCTGTTACCAGCCAAAATGTTCCTATAGCAGGGGTAACGATTTGTAGCAGTGGCAGGCGTGCAAAGAGGCCGACGCTCGCTTGCTCGCTCACACACACACACGCACACACACACACACAGAGGCGGCTCTTTATCAATTTGTGTCCAGCAATGACCCTGCCAAGGCTACGAAGGAGGACGAGGGCGGACGAGGGAGAAGCGGAGGGGGATGGGAAGGCGGCATGAGAGCGCAGGAGGGCCTTGAGAGCACTAAAGACTATTGACTGACAGATAACCTTTGTGAGTGGATGCAAGTGGGAGAGGGTTTATGTGGTGTAAGAGGAGGAAGAGGGA